AATGTCACGTGTGGTTTGACAGTGAGTGTGTAATGGACAGGTGAGTGTAGTTCTCGGTGTTACGTCTGGAGACGTAGTCTTTATTATGATTTATCAGAAAAGCGTTTTCTTTAATGTAGGAAGGGAGTTAGGATACAAACCTGTTGTTATTTTCCTTTTCTTTGTTAGATTAGTTAGAGGCTTAGTTAGATTGTTTTGTTGCGTCCGCTTATACCCCTAGATTCATGCGGGACATAACAAATTGGGGGCTCGTCCATTCGTTTAATCATTTCGTGGAACATATTAGTTCGGTTCTTTGTTTGATAACCTGACTTTTGTTGTCATAGTTATCATAAGTTCTTGGCAGCTTCATTTGTGGTCTCTTTTGGTACAGAGCAATATTGCTGGCAAAGCTCAAGAGGCATGTGCAGCATTGCCAGTTGAGAGTTCGTTAGATTATGATGCTGTTAAATCCGCGGTGCTCCGTGCATATGAATTGGTTCCTGAAGCATATGGGCAAAGTTTAGGCTGTGTTCAAAGTTGCCTAGCTAAACTTTCACGGAGTTTGCAAGAGTAAAGCAGGTACTGTTTGAGAAGTGGTGCTTAGCAAGCAGGTTAGCTGCTGCACAACGTTCTGATCCGTCACTTGCTACATGTATTGGTTGTACTGTAGACAAGGCCCTAGTCCCTCAGATGACGGCGGGTTATTTTTGGGATGATGACGTTCTCATGCGTTGGTGGAGACCACGTGCCACAGAGGCAGAATTTTTAACTGTGTTCCAAATTGTGTTACCTGAAGCTTACCGTAATCAGAATTTGGAGTTGGCCCATGAACATGTGTGTTCAGGACACTTGGGTGTCACAAAGACACATCATCGAATTGCCAGACACTACTTTTGGCCGGGCATGAAAACTGCTGTGTCTAGGTTTGTACGCTCATGTCATGTCTGTCAGTTAGGTGGAAAGCCCAATCAAACAATTCCACTCGCCCCACTACAGCCCATTCCAGTTTTTGGAGAACCGTTTGAGAGGCTCATTATTGACTGTGTAGGCCCATTGCCTAAAGCTAAAACTGGTCACCAATATCTTTTAACGATCATGTGTGCTAGTACTCGTTACCCTGAAGCTGTTCCTCTGCGATCTATCCAAGCTAAAACTGTAGCCCGTGAGCTTATTAAGTTCTGTTCAGTTTTTGGCTTACCGAGAGTCATTCAAAGTGACCAGGGGTCCAATTTCACCTCTAAACTGTTTAAGGAGGTAACGAAAGAGTTGGGCGTAGAGCACCAGTTGTCCACTGCATACCATCCAGAGTCACAGGGAGCTCTGGAGCGGTTCCACCAAACCCTGAAGTCTCGGTTGCGTACGTACTGCACTGAGACTGGTAAAGACTGGGTGGAGGGTTTGCCATTTCTGATGTTTGCTGTGAGAGGAACCGTTCAGGAATCCCTGGGATTTAGCCCTGCTGAGCTGTTTTTTTGCCATTCGGTTCGCGGCCCATTAAAACTCTTAAGTGAGCAGTTCCTAGCTAAGGAGTTCCCTCGTAAGTCTGTGCTAGACTATGTGAGTACTGTACGAGAGCATCTACACAAAGCATGGGAGTTAGCTAGAGTTCATCTTGCTGAAGCTCAATCTAAAATGAAACTTCGCTATGATAAGTGTAGTCTTCAGCGTAACTTCCATCCTGGTGATAAGGTCTTAGTATTACTTCCTGTGCCTGGTTCTCCTATTCAGGCTAGGTTTTCTGGACCTTATGAGATTGAGAAAAAGTTGAACGACACTAATTATGCAGTTTCTACTCCCGATCGTAAGCGGAAGTCTCGTGTGTGCCACATTAATATGCTTAAGGCTTACATTAGTAGAGACCGCGTTAAGTCTCAGCCTGATCCTGTTGACCCTCTTTCTGTTGCTTCTAACACTGCTGTTAACTTGTCTTCTGTGTACTCTCCTGAGTTAGATGGCCTTTGGAGTAAAGATGCAATTGCTTCATATGGTACGCTGTCTAACTCTGCCATCTTGTCTAACTTGAAGTCCCATCTTTCTTATCTGCCTGCAGCCCAGTGTGATCGGGTGGTCCAATTAATTGAAAACTATCGTATGCTGTTTAATGATGTACCATCACAAACTACCGCGGTCACTCATGACATTGATGTTGGTGAATGCAAGCCTATCAAACAACATCCATACCGTGCAAATCCCAACAAGTGTCAGGTTATGAAAACTGAGGTAGAATACTTGTTGACCCATGGCTTCGCAGTGCCAAGTCAAAGTCCGTGGAGCTCGCCATGCTTGCTTGTACCCAAACCTGATGGTTCGTGGCGATTTTGTACTGATTTCCGTAAGGTGAATGCTGTAACTAAGCCGGATTCCTTCCCTCTTCCTCGAATTGAGGACTGTGTTGACCGGGTGGGATCAGCTAGGTTTGTTAGTAAGCTTGATTTATTAAAAGGATACTGGCAAGTTCCTTTGACACCCCGTGCCTCGGAGATCTCCGCATTTGTGACCCCCGACTGTTTCCTACAGTACACGTCTATGGCTTTTGGCATGCGAAATGCACCAGCAACATTCCAGCGGTTGATGCTGAAGGTACTGGCCGGTGTGTCTAACTGTGAAGTCTATCTAGATGACATGGTTATTTACTCTGCAACCTGGGAAGAACATGTACAAAATCTTGAGTTAGTGTTTAAGCGATTGCTGGAAGCCCATCTTACCCTAAACTTAGCCAAGTGTGAATTTGCTAAGGCGAGAGTAACCTACCTTGGCAAATTGGTTGGCCAGGGCCAAGCGAGGCCTGTGCAAGCTAAGGTAGAGGCTATTGTAGAGTTTCCAAGGCCAAGTAACGAGAGAGTTACGCCGTTTCCTGGGGATGTCTGGATACTATCGTGGGTTTTGTAAGAATTTTGCTACTGTTGTCACACCCTTGACTGATCTTCTTAAAGCAGAAACAAAGTTTGTGTGGAATGCTGAAGGTGAAGCTGCATTTAATTCTGCTAAAGATCTGTTATGTCATGCTCCTGTGTTGTCTGCTCCAAATTTTGACATGCCTTTTAAGCTACAGGTGGATGCTAGCGGGGTTGGCGCTGGGGCAGTGCTATTGCAAGAGGACAAGGCGGGAGTTGAACACCCAGTATGCTACTTTTCGAAGAAATTCTCCAGCTGCCAAAGAAACTACAGTACCATCGAAAAGGAAGCTCTGGCCTTGTTGTTGGCACTAAAGAATTTTGAGGTCTACTTGTGTAAGGGTAATATGGCCCCTATTATTGTATACACTGACCACAACACTCTGGTCTTTCTGTCTTGTATGGCAAACTCAAACCAGAGATTAATGAGATGGTCTCTGATTCTGCAAGAGTTTGTTCTTGATATAAGGTATATAAAAGGAGTGGACAATGTAGTAGCAGATGCTTTGTCAAGAGCTCATATTGATGACTAACCCGCTCATGTAAAGTGTGTGTGTGTGGTAGGGTTTTTTTTTTAAAGTTCATAGTTTGTAACTACGGGTGGGGGTGTTACGTCTGGAGATGTAGTCTTTATTATGATTTATCAGAAAAGCGTTTTCTTTAATGGGTCTCTTTTTTCCCTCCGTTAACCCTTTGGCTCCTCCTACTCAATCTGTCTGGCAGGTAGCTGATTGCCCCCAGCTGCAGCTGCTTACCAGTTAAGAGTGAGACAGCATAAAAGCACAGCAGCAACTACCAAAGTGGAAGAAAACGTTCCCCCAGGAGTTTTCTCCAGAGCGCTGTCTTTGTCCTGCCCAGCCTGTTGCTGTTGTTTACAAACTTGTTTAATATGGTTTGGTTTATTTGGAAGTTGTAGGGAGGTGGGTGCCATTTTTGTTGAATCCTGTTTTGGGGCCAAGAATGGAGTTAGGATACAAACCTGTTGTTATTTTTCTTTTCTTTGTTAGATCAGTTAGAGGCTTAAATTATCTAGTTAGATTTTTTGTTTATTATTTTGGCCTTGCCCTCTCCTGAAATTATTGCTTCCCTTTTATTTCTTTTTAATTATTTTTTTCTTATTTTTTTTTACCTTTTGTATTTGTTCCATGAGCTGTCAAATAAAAACCTTTATGGTAATTTGTTGCTTGTGGTGCTGTGACAGGACTCAGACTAGCACTCTTTAAATTAATTGTTGTTTTGTTGCGTCCACTTATACCCCTAGATTCATGCGGGACATAACATCGGCGACTGTGATCCTCTGGTGGGCGTGCTTCTAAGCAAGTATTTCTTACATTTGTTCTTAAGTTGACGGAATTGAGTTGTCTAATGTTCTATATTGATCTGGGGCCATATTCGCCAAAAATCTGAAGGCTAAAAGTTGCTCCTAATGCATAAATGTGAAAATTAAGGGCATTTCACTCCTAATAATAGAACTCAACTAAGAGTAATGTAAAAGGTCTTAATTTCTATAGACAGAGTTAATTTTGTCTAGTTATGTTCAGTTCTATCATTTGATTGGAATTAAAACGTTTAACAACAGTTTGTCAACATTTAAATATATTTAGCTCTGAGTAAAAAGTTGAAAATAAAGTAAGATGTGTATATACAGTGGGGCAAATAAGTATTTGATACACTGCTGATTTTTCAAGTTTTCCCACTTACAAAGAATGGAGAGATCTGTAATTTTCATCGTAGGTACACCTCAACTGTGAGAGACAGAATAAAAAAAAAAATCCAGAAAATCACATTGTATGATTTTTAAATAATTAATTTCCATTTTATTGCATGAAATAAGTATTTGATACAATAGAAAAATAGAACTTAATATTTGGTACAGAAACCTTTGTTTACAATTACAGAGGTCAGACGTTTCCTGTAGTTCTTGACCAGGTTTGCACACAGTGCAGCAGGGATTTTGGCCCACTCCTCCATAAAGGTGTACTCCAGATCTTTCAGGTTTTGGGGCTGTTGCTGGGCAACACGGAGTTTCAGCTCCCTCCATAGATTTTCTATTGGGTTCAGGTCTGGAGACTGGCTAGGCCACTCCAGGACCTTGAAATGCTTCTTACGGAGCCACTCCTTAGTTGCCCTGGCTGTGTGTTTGGGGTCATTGTCATGCTGGAAGACCCAGCCACGACCCATCTTCAATGCTCTTACTGAGGGAAGGAGGTTGTTGCCCAAAATCTCGCGATACATGGCCCCATCCATCCTCCCCTCAATACGGTGCAGTCGTCCTGTCCCCTTTGCAGAAAAGCACCCCCAAAGCATGATGTTTCCACCCCCATGCTTCACGGTTGGGATGGTGTTCTTGGGATTGTACTCATCCTTCTTCTTCCTCGAAACACGGCGAGTGGAGTTTATACCAAAGACTTATATTTTGGTCTCATCTGACCACATGACCTTCTCCCATGCCTCCTCTGTATCATCCAGATGGTCTTTGGCAAACTTCAGACGGGCCTGGACATGTGCTGGCTTGAGCAGGGGGACCTTGCGCGCGCTGCAGGATTTTAATCCATGACGGTGTAGTGTGTTACTAATGGTAACCGTTGAGACTGTGGTCCCAGCTCTCTTCAGGTCATTGACCAGGTCCTCCCGTGTAGTTCTAGGCTGACCCTTTTCAGCAAACATATGCTGACCCAAACCTATCTTAGCATTCTGCCATCCACAGCTAAGATAATAACAGAATACTTCACCAGCCAACCACACCTGGCAAAACCTAGCTGTAAAACCTCTCTACAAATTGTTTGATCTTGCATTAGTCTTTGGCCCTTACTCTCAACACGAGTTTGCCAAAATGTTGCAGATGCTCAGTCTAACTGCCCAGATGGCAGACCAAAAGGACTGGCCAGGCGTTGTGAGGAACACCCTTCTACCCAGGGCTGCCGACGACCTACTGCACCAGAGCCGAAAGCAATGGACACCGGGGGAAGAGTACCACTGACTCATGACTCAAGCGAGAGTTATGACTACAAAGAGCTCACCAAGATCATCGTCTTCCTGGCCAACAACCTCATGGGTCTGAAACAGGAGGTGAATGATCTCAAGCAACAGATCATGACGGTATCCCAAAAGGACCCCAGCAGAATGGAGAAGAACGGAACGTTTTAAACATCGCTTGCAAGCAGACCCAGTAATTAATCTTATGTGTCTGTCTCATAAGATTAGTAACTTCTTATACATGCGCATACCAGTTTCTGATCAAATCATTTGCACCTTTTTACAAAGGTGTGTTTGAACTAAGAAGCTGATGTTTCCTTCAGGCTGTAGATCTGCTGAATATCCAATGGTCCCATAGCTTCATGCTTTATTTCTTTTCTCTTTACTGCCTAAACTTTAATCCTGTTCCTATACCAACTGTATGCGTGTGTGTGTGTGTGTGTGTGTGTGTGTGTATGTTAGACTAGTTTAAGTGTTTATGTAGTTAATAAAGTCTTACTTGTATCACACTTGACGTTGTTCATTGTTTGCTCATAACTGGAGTCCCTAATCATGCAGATTTATGCTACATGCTCTGTGTAGTATTGTACAGTAAGAAAGTTATTTCCCTTAACCAGGAAATTAACGTTCTTAGAATTGACAGACAGTTGACCCTGAGAGGTCAAGTAAATACTTACAGCGGATCTAAATATGTATAATTAATTATAACTAGTTATGATTAATTATTCCTATTTCCCCTTTGAGCTGATTTGCTACAAGGGACAGTGCACTGAGGCGCTGTTGCGTTTGCGTTGTTCTGAGTTCATTTTTAATTTTTGCCATCTGTGAAAATTATCTTTCTCCTTCACAGTTTGTAACTGGCAATGTCAAAAATATATGTAGGGCTACAAACACATTGGGGAAAGTTGATTGCAGACTATGTTTTAAGAGCACCTACAGCAGTTTTTGAGGAGACTTATCGTGCTCGCTATTTACAAAGCATCTGAACTGGATCATTTCATCTGCAAGGTTCTGATCTAAATCAGAATGATATGAAGCGCAGAGTGCATCAGCCTGTTTACGAACAGTGGGCAAATCCTCAGTTTCCATGTTCAGTAGAATCCCAAACCTGTTATTAATGTTCCGTATGCTTCCACTCTGTGGTCTAAACAGCTGACTAGCTTGTCAATAATGACAATGTCAATTAATGACATTAAATGTTTCTACCTGGTATCATTCTCGGCCTTTCAGTTACTTCATGCTCTGTAGATTCATCTGAAAATCCTTTCCGATTTTTGGCCCGCTGTAGTTCATCTTTAAATGACTGGCACACACCAGGAACATTCTTTGCAGATCTTTCAAAATGGTCAAATTGGTCTCGAAGTGATACAACCCATGATCTCAAAGACTCGAACAGATGAATTGCAGTCATCAGATCCATGTCTGTCTTTTGTAATGCCTCACTTGTCACTTTGAATCTGCTTAAGACACAGTGCCAAAACTGTGCCATAAATGACATGTCAAGAGTGCCCAATTTTGAGCACAGTGCTGCTGCCTCATTGCGTGTCATGTTTTTCTCCTGTATCAGATGATATGGTCTGAAGTATATCCCTGATTTGTGCATAATTCCCACAAAGGGCTTTAGATGCATCTGCACGGCAACTCCAATGTGTTTATGACAGCGATTTCAATGTCATGTCTACCTTGATGTCTGCATTATTGAAGAATATGTTCCATCTATGAGTAGAACTTGCACAAAAGGCATATAAGGACTGCATGAGATCAAAGAACTTACTTACATCTTGACAGCTGCCTTCTATACGGTTTACCCCACCAAAATGAGTGAATGTGCTGCGCAGGGTATGTAATGGATTAATGGATTTTTTTTCAAGTGAGCCTGCAGCCTGTTATAACGCCCCGACATATTGCTTGCGTTGTCGTATGCCTGGCCTCTGCAGTTTGCTATATCTAAGCTTAAACTGTCAAGCATAGCCATTACAGTGTCAGAGTGACTCTGCCCTGTGTGATTCTCAATTGGTTCAAAGCCAACAAATCATTCAATTATTTTCCCCTCTTTACTCACAAATCTAAAAATGAATGTCAGCTGGTCAGTATGTGACAGGTCAGGAGTAGAGCCCACTATCAGAGAAAAATACTTTGCCTGCTGTATCTCTGCAGCTATAGTAGCTTTCACTTTGTCACCCATTTGCTGAATCAAGTCCTTGCATATAGTTGATGAAAGATAGGATGTGCTGCCCCTACCCTTCTGTCCATACTTATTTATGTGCTCAGCAAGGAAAGGATCAAACTGAGAAATGACTTCCAGAATGCCAAGAAAGTTACCATTGTGTGGTGATCTAAGAACTTCATCATCACCATGGAAAGGCAGGCCTCTTTAACTTAAAAATTTAATGACATCCACAACCAGCTTGAGCACCTCGCGCCAATACCGCTTTTCACCCTCCAACTGTTGCACTAGTTTAGCGTTCACAGTCCTGCTCCCAGTGACAGATGAGCGCCGAAGTAATGCTAACATGCAGTTATAATGCTCTGTGCTTTGCTCATGCTCACGCACACGTTCGGGGTGTTTCCAATCAGAAAAAACACTGGTAAATAGATTTTTCTTAGTTGAAAAAACACAGGGAAAGCAAACAATATTACCTGTCAATGGTGAATAGGTGGTCCAGTCTCTGGAAATTTTTTCCCCATTTGGGAGTTGACAACACAGCAGATCATTAGTGAGGGAGCACACCTTACCGCCCAAACCCCCATAACGGGTTGAGGCTGGATATTTGCTCTTTCTGTTATGAAATGCAGCAGGCCCAAATTTAAAAGTGCTGGCTAATGCTAAGCGTAAATTCGGTAAGATTGTTATTCACATCGGCACTAATGATGTCCAACTTTTCCAGTCGGAGATCACTAAAAATAACATTAAAGAAGTGTGGGAACTTGCAAGTACAATGTCAGACACTGTAATGTGCTCTGGTCTCCTCCCTGCATATCGTGGTGACGAGATGCATAGCAGACTGTCGTCACTCAATGGCTGGATGTCTAAGTGGTGCCCGCAGAATAACATTTTTTAACATAACAGTTTTTGGGGCAGACCTGACCTGTTGAAAAGAGATGGTCTTCAGCCCTCCAGGGGTTGTGCCGCTCTTCTGTCTAGAAATATGGCACATAGTCTTAGAGTTTGTATTTGACTAACTGGGACCCAGGTCAGGAAGCAGACAGACTGGCTAAACCAACCGTCTGCTAGCCGCCTCACGTCACAGAAGTCACAGAAGTCAGTTAATTCTCAGCACATAGACTCTTTTACCTCGATAGCATACTATAGAGACTGTGTCTGTTCCCCCGAACTAGCAAATACAAAAAACATCCAAAACTATTTAAGGGTAACAATTTAATTGATGTTCAACAAATAAAAAGCAGATAATAATACAGATGAATTAATGAATATTAGATCACTTTCTAAAAAAGCACTTTTTGTAAATGAAATGATCACAGATCATAACTTAGCTGTGCTCTGTTTGACAGAAACCTGGCTAAAACCAGATTATTACATTATTTTAAAGGAGTCTACCCCCCAATATTACTGGTATAAACATGAGCCACGTCCAAAAGGTAAAGGGGGAGGTGTTGCTACAATTTATAGCAATAATTTCAGTATTTCAGAGAAGTCTGGTTTCAAGTATAATTCGTTTGAAGTAATGGTGATTCAAATAACATTACCTAGAGAAACAAGTGTTAATGATAAATCTCCTGTGACGTTTGTACTGGCTACTGTATACAGGCCACCAGGGCACCATACAGACTTTATCAAAGAATTTGCTGATTTTCTATCAGAGCTAGTGCTGGCTGCAGATAAAGTCTTAATTGTTGATTATTTTAATATCCATGTTGATAATGAAAAAGATGCATTGGGATCAGCATTTATAGACATTCTGAATTCCATTGGGGTTAGACAACACGTGTCAGGGCCTACTCATTGCCGTAATCATACTTTAGATTTAATACTGTCACATGGAATTGATATTAATGGCGTTGAAATTCTGCAGCAGAGTGATGATATCTCGGATCATTATCTAGTCTCGTGTATACTCCATATAGCTAAAGCTGCAAAAAAAAACTCCCTGTTGAATTCCCGTCACTTCTACCACGAAAGACTGCTTTGTAAATAATCTTCCCGATTTGTCTCAATTTCTCAGCATATCCAATAGCTCAGAAAAACTTGATGGTGTAATAGAAACTATTGACTCTTTTCTAGCACTTTAGATACGGTTGCTCTTTTACGCTTAAAGAAGATTAAGGAAAACAGTCTGACACCATGGTATAACGAGCACACTCGCGCCTTAAAGAGAGCAGCCCGGAAAATGGAGCCCAGTTGGAAGAAAGCAAAACTAGAGGAATTTCGTATTGCATGGTGGGAAAATACTTGTACTTATAGAAAAGCTGTAAAAACTGCTATATCAGCTTGCTTTCCATCTCTCTTAGAAGAAAACATACACAACCCCAGACATTTATTCAATACAGTGGCTATATTAACGGGAAAAAAAAGTATCAATAGACACAGACCTTTCCCAACAGCACAGCAATAATGACTTTATGAACTTCTGTACTTCCAAGATCGATACTATTAGAGATAAAATTATAACCATGCAGCTGTCAGCCACAGTATTGCAACAGATAGCACACTATATTGTTTATATATTGCTTATTACTTATAAAGCCCTGAATGGTTTAGCACCTCAGTATTTGAGCGAGCTCTTGTTACATTATAGTCCTCCACGTCCGCTGCGTTCTCAAAACTCTAGCAATTTGATAATACCTAGAACATCAAAATCAACTGCGGGCTGAAGATCCTTTTCCTATTTAGCGCCCAAACTCTGGAATAACCTACCTAACATTGTTCGGGAGGCAGACACACTCTGTCAGTTTAAATCTAGATTAAAGACCCATCTCTTTAACCTGGCATACACATAATACACTATCACATTTCTATAATTCAAATCCGTTAAAGGATTGTTAGGCTGCATTAATTAGGTCAACCGGAACCGGGAACACTTCCCATAACATCCAATGTACTCGCTACATCGTAAGAAGAATGGCATCTACGCTAATATTAGTCTCTTTCATTCTTATTCCGAGGACACCGTAGCCATACGGATCCAGCCTGTATCCAGACCTGATGGTGGATCAGCACTTAGAGACAGCCCTGAATGTCAGCAGAGACCATGTCAACTAGATGCACCCCAGAAACAGATCCCCTGCAAAGACCTCTTCACCTCGACAACCATCGGCACAAATCAGACAAGTCCTCTTCACCTGTGTTGCAGGCTGGAATTAAACCACACCATGCTGGTGTCATCTGGCCAGAGGAGAACTGGCCCCCCGACTGAGCCTGCTTTCTCCCAAGGCTTTTTCTCCATTTCTGTCAACGATGGAGTTTTGGTTCCTTGCCACTGTTGCCTTTGGCTTGCTTAGTTGGGGACGCTTGACTGATTGCACAGACACTATTGGAAGAGAGCTGAACTGGATGATGACATCACTGAATCATCAATGAACTGACTTTAGCTGGAAAAAATGACTGTTATTGCCTTCTTGCATTATTGACAATCTATTTTCCTGTTTAACACTATAAAGCTGCTTTGACACAACCAGTATTGTATAAAGCGCTATACAAATAAAGGTGACTTGACTTGACACTGAAATTAGTTTAATGTGCATGTAGGCCAATATGTTGGACATTCAATTTACATCAAATCAATGTTATGTCAAGATTTTGACATGAATTTGATTTGCTTTTTTTTTTTTTTACGTCAATTTTGTCAATTGGATAATTTGACCACTGAGAGTCAGACAGGTTCCAGCTGGTTGTGCAAGTAAGAGATCTCAGATAACCAAATTAACAGTGTAAAATCACTTAAGAACAAACTCAAACCAAAGCCGCCGTGCAAGGCGCGAGTGTTCACAAAGCACGAACAAGCGATCATTTCGACACTTTGCCCAACGGGGATGGGGGTGGCAGGGGTGAACGTGGCCGTGCTGTGCGTGGGAGAGCAGGGAGACGTGGTAGAGGCAGCAGGGGTGATCTGGCTCTAAATAGGGCTGGAAATAGCGATGACAATGGTGGCTGGGTTTTTTTGAGAAATGAAGAAGTGTATCAGGACTGGATCAAACACTTTGATGAGCCTGTTGGTTATCTAGGAGAGAAAGATTTGACCAGTGCTGCACCCTTACAAAGTACAGGTGCAGTCAGTGTGGGGTAGGTCTGTGCGCTGTGCCATGCAATGAGAGGTACCATACTCTCAAGAACTATAAACTTTGTCACCTAGATACCTGATTGGGCAGATAGCTGGTCAACTGATCAAAAAATAGGCACATGCATTTTACTATGGCACAGTAATATAGTAATAATTCACTATAGTTACTAATAGTTTTACTGTTGATTTCCTCTTTTCCTGATCATTTGGAATGAGGATAAAAAGACAAAAAAAAACTAAAACAAAAAAAAAACCTTCCAAATAAGTTCAAACATCGATTCAATATCTACTATTTCCTGAATATTACTGATGAACTAAACAAAAAGTAGGCTACTGTTCACATGCGTTTTACTACTATATAGTATAGTAATATAGTAATAATTTAGTACTTTGTCCTGTTTTATTGTTGGTTTCCTCTTTTCTGATCATGTGGAATGAGGATAAAAAGACAAAAAAAAAACAAAAAAACAACAACAACATGCAAATAAGTTCAAACATCAATTCAATATCTACTATTTCCTGAATATTATGAAATTCAAGATGGCCGCCCCTGATGACGTCATAATATGCAAATTAGATGAGTATATTTACACCCCACATAAACTTTCGGTCATGCCCAACATTTTCCTAATTTACAGTAGATCTCTACATGGAGTGTGACCTCTCTGGTGGGGAAGAAGCTGGAGTTAGTGCGGGAGGTTGAGTGTAACCAGCTAGATATCGTTGGCCTTACTTCTACGCCCAGCTCTGTCTCTGCAACCAAACATCTGGATAGGGGTCCTTCTCTGGATTCACAAAGGGTGAGAGGTGTTGAGCGTGGGTGGGACTTCTCACAAGTCCCCATCTCGGGGCAATTGGAGCCCGGTAGACGAGAGGATCGCCTCACTGCGACTCTGTGTCATGGCGGGGAAGATTCTGATTGTGTTCTATGATTCTGTCTTGGACATGGAACAGTGGACCTGTGATCCTGGAGAGGGCATGGTTTGCTTCTGCAATCTACATTTGTTTTGCGGATTTGGAGAAGGCTCCGGGAGTAGGCGTGCAAGGCAGAGGTCGTGTTATCAGAAATTTTCCATCATTGACTGAGTTTGATTACGCACAGGCAAGTGTAATCCGTTACACGCAATACCAATTTTGGGTCAACTCTGACAATGGACCAGTGAGCTCAAAACATTTGGTTCGTCCTAGGAGACAGATGATGCAGCAGCAGTGAACAGACTCAGACAAGATTTGAGGTAAGAACAATGATTTGTATTGTAACAGTGAATAGTAGAAAATAAATTTACATTCACAAAAATGTAATTCAAAGACTCAGAAATGTTTGTACTCAGTGTTGTTACTTACACCCCTTTGCTTCCTTATAGGGTTTCACCTTGTTGGTAAGTTGATATTTCTCCTTCCTTTTATCTTTTAGTTGATAATGCAAGCTAATGTGGAAATTGCTTAAAGCATTTGGTACTGAAACATCTAATTAAATGTTCTTTTTTTTTTCTAAAGTGACCCGTTCTTAAATGTTTTTGAATGATATCTAATTTGAGTCAACCTTTAAACCTTTAACCCATATAATCAACACAGACAGAAAAAAAAGGATAATCAACAAATAAAACAAAATGACATTTTCTCTGAATGAAAATACCCAAATTTCCCAAAGTCCTCAATGTCCTCAAGGAGGAATCAAAAATCAGTTTATAAACTCAGTCCCAAACATAAATTATTTGATGTTAATCTCAGTCTTTAGGCTTTACTCCAGATCAGGACGAAATGAACCGTGCAATTTCAATCCTACAAGTTAAAGATGAGCAGGTTCAGTTTTTGTGTCTGTCCAAACAGGAAGGATTCACGCAAGAGTTTCAAAGGATTCGTTTACAGGTGGCTCGTCAGTCCAACTCCACCATCGTAGATATAGGAAGAGTTGAGACAGTTCGGGAATAATTTACACAACCATCGATTCATCCGGGGCAAATCCAGCAAGGGAACTCACATGGAACAAGAACAGGGAAAAAAACCTGGCCTTGAGGACACAAGGCCACCACAACAACAATTAGTATTTGATAACAAATACCATCAATAAACATTCATTTACATACTCGGTGTGATAAATTGTCTTTCTATGTATTATTTCTCTATAACAATAAAGAAATTATTCCTAATTGTCATGTACTTTCTTGTATATCTTTTTGTTTGTCATACAATTGCACATTTGTACTTCTTTCTCATAAACAACAGCATTTTTGTTCACATTTCACACATTAAGGCATATTCGTCATTAATATTGCACCATTTGATAAAACACAATTAATTTGGATGGTATTGAAATAACAATCAACAAAGAAAAAAAAAACATTAACTCACCAAGGAACTCAACATGTACATCAAATGAACCAGGACATTTGCAGATGAAACCCACTTCAAGACATCACTCTCAATTGTATTCAGCTTCTCTGACCCCTTGGTTAGAGACATATTCACCACATGTTATATTAGCTTTATGCTAACGCTTAGATTGCATCATTAACATCGGGATAACACACAATGTGAACTATCATATCACCTCTGCTTGTTTTAGCCGCTAATATTTTTTTTCATATATATCATCATCAGTTTAACAGTTTAAAGACACTTTAAACAACTCTTACTTAATTTCTCTCTCGTTTTGGAGCGTTGAATCTCCCGAAGCAGTATCTAGCATCCGCTCCCATCAGAAGCTCACGAGGAAGAGATAGATCTCAAACTCTCTGCTCTCTAAATTCAACCGCGATCTCATTGGTGAATTTACCAAGAGAGAGATTATTGGTCACATTTATAACTTTGATATTTTATATTTTTACATATTTTCACATTATTAATTTATTTGTTCACAGTCATATTTACGTTTTCAGTGTTTTTAATACATATAATCTGTTATTTAATTTGATGTTATTTATGTGTCTGCTTCTATCTACTAGTAACCTGGGTTACACTTTCCCCCCCTAAATCTAGGCACGTCCTCGGCCATGCTTGGTGTTGACTTGTCACCACTGAGGGAAAAGTACCGGGCATATTCAAGGACTGGTCAATGGACGTGGATCCTTCCAGGGAAGTGGTAAGTGCTGAACTCAAGCCTTGCAGTAAGGACTGAATAACCATTGTTAGGGGATTTCCCAGCTTATGGTACTGGAGTTTGTTGGGGGGCCCAAACTGCCTTTTAGAATGTCTTGGGCCAATGCCTTCAAGGTCATCATCCATAGCTAGTTGGCTACTTGAACCATCTTGGACAGATGGTGTCTGGTCATGGAGTTGGGCTTCCTCACTTACAGTATCCAAAAGACCTGAAGACTCCTGCACATTCTCATTCATTGGTTCTGACAACTCTGGAAGCTCAGTCTCTTCAAGGCATTTGCTACTGCAGGTCTCCACTCCAACTGTGTCTCCATCTCGCCCAAAGTCAACTTCAGCAGGATTCATCGCAGGCAAGTAATTTTCCTCTTCATTGTTTACTTGACTATTGATTGTGCTTTCTTCCTGGAGCCTGATGTCAGATGAGGTTCTCTTCACAGGGTCTACAACAGCGGAAGGAGGCTCTACGATATCAGGAAAGTTTTCCTTTGCAGGGTTTACCACATGAAGAGGTGACTCAATGGAATTGGTTTCAGGTAAGGTTTCTATAAACAACGGAATTCCTGAAAAAGGTGAGATGGTCTTTGTGCTGAAATCCAATTTGACATTTCGCACCAGGACCCGATCACCCGTTTCAAGTGCAGAGGCATTTACATTCCTGTCGAACCGTCTTTTATTCTGATCAGCTTCTTTTGATGCATTATGAGTAGCAACTCTGTAGCTTTCCTCTAGTCGACTCTTTAGGGATTTCACGTATTGTGAATGCGACGGAAATGAGGTATTAGAGGAGAGCCCGAAAGCGAGATCGACTGGTAGTCGAGGCTGCCTGCCGAACATAAGCTCATAGGGTGAGTACCCCATTACATCACTCCTGGTGCAGTATGCACCAAGGGTCTGACGTGATCTTTCCAATGAGCTTTGTTCTTGTTCTCCAGCGTACCTAGCATCTGCAAAAGGGTTCTATTAAATCGTTCCACCTGGTTCCCTCTAGGATGGTAGGGGGTGGTCCTCACTTTGCGGATGCCAGCGATCCTGCACAATTCTTGGATGGTGCGAGATTCAAAGTCTGGCCCTTGATCGCTAAGCAGCTTTTCCGGAAAGCCATAATGGACAAAGAAATTATCCCATAGGCATTTAGCAACTGTTTGCGCTTTTTGATTTCAGGTAGGTACTGCGACAGCATACTTAGTAAAATGGTCTGTGATGACCAAAATATCCTTGGTGTTACTGCTGTCTGGTTCCAGTGTTAAAAAATCCATGCAAACCAGTTCTAAAGATCTTTGGGTCTGAATGTTAACCAAGGGGGCGGCTTTCTGGGGGTGAGTCTTCCTACGCACACAACGCTCGCACGTTTTGATTTTCTCGTCCACGTCTGCAACCATTTTCGGCCAGTAAAATCTGGAACTGAGAAGATCAAGAGTTCTCTCCAGACCAAGGTGACCCATTTCATCATGGAGACTGGTAAGTTCAATTCCTCGAAGGGCTTTTGGCAAGGCCAGTTGGTTCAATGCTTAGCCTCGGTCCATTCTCTTCCTATACAACAATCCATTCTTTAGCTCAAGTCTATTCCATTGTCTAATCCATAGGATTACTACAGGTGAGTGGAAATTCAGGTTTGCCGGTTTGTTATTTGACTACAGGTAATCAATTACCTCTTTAATTTCAGGGTCTGCTCGCTGCCTCCTGATCAGATCCCAATTTCTGGAGGTAACGCCTTTGCATTAATGCTTAAGTACTCTATTAAAGTTAAGGGGAAAGTCTGAGAATCATGGGACTGACTTACTTGATGTTTTTCACAGATGGCCCCCACTACCTCTGGCGAAATGATCGCAGTGTTGCCTTCGAGATCTGCAAGATGATGTAGAGTGAACTGTCTGATTCTTTTTTTTTAGATTCCCATTCATCTGAGAGTCCACCATTTGGACGACGAGACAGTCCGTCCGCATCTTGATTTTGAGCTCCCGCTCTGTATTGTATCTTAAAATTGTACATTGAGAGACTGGATAACCATCTATAACTAGTGGCATCGAGTTTGGCTGAGGTAAGGACATAAGTGAGTGGATTGCTATCCGTGACCACTGTAAAGTCTCCCCCGTACAGGTAATCATGAAATTTGGTGGTAATTGCCCATTTAAGAGCCAGAAATTCCAATTTGTGGGCCGGATACTTGGCTTCACACTTTGTTAGTCAGCGGCTAGCATAAGCTATGACTCTCATGTGTCCCTGCTGTTCTTGATACAAGGCCGCTCCAAGACCTGTAGCACAAGCATCTGTATGAAAAAGGTAAGGCAGACGAGGATTGGCGTACCCCAATATATGTGCAGATGTTAACTTTTCTACAAGAGTGTCGAACGCCTGCTGACACTCAGTAGTCCATCTGTCATCCAGCGAATCCTTTGGTTTGGATTGAGGTAAGTGCGATTTTTATCTTTGTCTTTCCTTCTACCTTTTCGAACTGGAGGATAGACGGCTGTAAGGTGGTTTAACGGCTTAGCTATCTTGGAGAAATCTTTAACAAATCTCAGGTAGTATCCTGCAAATCCTAAAAAATTTCGGAGGTTCTGGGGCCTGGGCTTCCACTCCCTTCTGGGAAACAATGTGGCCCAAATAACGCACAGATGTTTGAAAGTATTTGCACTTCTCGGGTAAGAGCTTTAACCCAAATTCTTTCAGATGGCTCAGAACTTGTATCAGCCGACGTTCGTGCTCTTCAAGGGTTTCAGAAAAGATGATAAGATCATCTATAAAGACCAACACTTCTCTTCTATTTAAGTCACCCATACAGCGCTCCATAAACCGCTGAAATGTGCTCGGCGCGTTGGTAATCCCTTGTGGCATACGGTTAAACTCCCAAAATCCAAGAGGGCATACGAACGCTGTCTTCTGCTTATCCGCTTCATCCATCTCAATCTGGTAATACCCAGACTTTAGATCAAGAATGGAAAACCACTTGGAACACAGAGAACACTTCCTCTAGGTTTGGGAGCGCGTATGCATCTCGGATGGTCAGAGCGTTAAGCTTCCTAACATCAATACATAGCCGCACAGAGTTGTCTTTCTTTCTGACTACTACAATTGGGGATGCGAATGGGGACTCGGACTCCCGAATTATCCCAGTGGCTAACAACTCCTGTAAATGCTCCCTGACAGCACTAATATCTTGTGGATGGATGGGCCGAGCTCTATGCTTACAGGGAGTCTCATCTCTCAGTTTGATTCGGTGTTTCACCTTATCGGTGTGCCCATAATCCATGTCATTCAGAGCAAAAACCTCAGGCATAGTTTAACAAGGCCGATATCCGTTCTTTCCACTCGGAGGGCAGAGGGGAGTCTCCAAAATCAAACGTTATCTGGGGACTTCTAGGCTTTTCTGGTGTTTCAGAAACATCACTTGCTAATGGCTTGTCTATTACCTGCTGGACAGCATGCAATTCTGCAATTACAGTCTTGGGCGGGATGACTAAAGGTATCTGGGGACTTCTAGGCTTTTCTGGTGTTTCAGAAACATCACTTGCTAATGGCTTGTCTATTACCTGCTGGACAGCATGCAATTCTGCAATTACAGTCTTGGGCGGGATGACTATATTAGACTGGGTTTCATTCTTGACCACCACAGGCAAGGAGAAGAAACGCTTTACAGGTAAGGTGTGCAACCCACTAGCAATTAATAGACCCCTGGAAGTGACGACATTGCGGGAGGACCGATGCCAGTAAGTTTTTCTGCTGGAAGACATTTCAGGCAGACAACTCCATCAAGAACAGCAGTGTGCCCTGCCAGCACAGCTTCAGGGCCTGTTCCTTTTAATGTTACACATCCAAAAGTTTCAGCGCATGACTGTTTATGTCTCACATCAAGTGTCTTCAGTACTGCGGCATACCCATGAGAAGCCGTATTGGGGCTGACAGTCTCCTTTTGCACATAGCTGGAGTAAAGTGCATCTAGGGTATTTGTGCCGATGAAGACTTGTGGCACACTTATCAAATCTGGGACCACCAGTGCCAGCGTGGTAACCTCAACATCTGTTCCTATGAACTCCTTGGGAAACATTAAAGTTAACTCTACATACCCCAGGTAAGGCACCAATTGTCCGTTTGCCCCCTCAACTTCCAGCAGAGATTCCAGTGATTGCACAGGGTGATTAGAGAGGTACTTTTTGTAAAAAGACAAGGGAATTGTGGTCACCTGGGAACCAGTATCTAAAAGGCAGTTCACATTGATTTAATCAATATAGATTTGGGCAGTACATTTCATTCCAATTAGCCCCTTTGGCAGGTTGGTCAGTAGTAAATATGATCGTGCTTATGTCAACTTGATTGATGGCTTTGACCTTTGGACCTTTCCCCTCCCCCCACGCGGCCCACCCACGTCACGATCACCCACGTTGCGACCACCCACGTTGTGTTGACCCCGGTGACCCGTTAGATGTCCAGATATGAAAACCGGCATATGTGAAATTCCGACGTCAACCTATGACCTCCGGGGGAAGACATATGATGTTTGTTCAGATGTATGTATGTGACCGAGGATGTCAGGCGATAAACTCCTTTTTATCGCCTGACATCGATAAAGATAAATAAACCTATTTATCTATCGATTTCAGGCTTAGATAAATAGACCC